AGCAGTTAAGGCATTCTTGGACGGACTTCGCGACCAAGAAACGACAGGCCTTGACACTAGCTCATCCCAAACATCTCGTGGGTGCATTGGCAAGCGATCTGGAGTTTGAGGCCCAAAAAAAATCCTGCAAGAGCCAGAGCAAAGTTCGAACTATCGAGGAAGATGGACGGATGCCTCCTGATATTGAGGCCACCATTAGAAAGGTAATGAAAGAAGTGTTGCCTGAGAGAAAACAAATAAGATGCTGGAACTGTGGGAAAACTGGGCATGTGCTTAGCAAATGTCCAGCATTCAACCAACAATAAATCAGGAAAACTAGAGGGGGTCGATGAGAAGGGCCTGTACCCAGCAAGCTCTCGTAAAAACACATATGTTGCCATTCTCCAACGACAAGACAAAAATGGTTTCATAGACGGCCTCATCAACAACGAGCCTTGCGACGAGAACCATTATTGGGCCAACCTTTGCCAAAACACCGGCAAGAATTGAACCGTCGAGTTGGAAGCTACGCACCGCAACAGGGGAGCCAGCCACTGTACTTGGAGAACTACCAATTGAATTGGTGTTGGGCAGGACTAGATTGAACCATCGTACATAGGTGGCGGACATCTAGGACGATGCGATTATTGGAATGGACATAATGAATCCCAGAGGGTTCGAGCTGAATTTTCAAGACGGCGTCCTACGTGTTGGCGGAGGAGAACTGGTGCTTCATTGAAGAAGCGAAGAAATGATCAGGTCCTGCTGGCTGAAGACGTGTGCGTTTCAGCCCTGTGAGAAACCATCCTGGAGGCTCGCTTGGACGGAAGTGCGAGCAGCGGAAAGGTGGTAATGTTCGAACCCAAGATTCGTGTTGAGAAAATTGCAGAAGAATCGCACTGGGGAATACCCTGTTGCGTGTTGATAAAGTTGTGCCGGTCAGGGTCATGAATGTCAAATAGTTTCCTGTGACCTTGAAGAAAGGAACAATGCCAGGGCACTGTTCGTCCATTTCCTCTGTGATACGGAGTGTACGCAGTTTTGATAGCCAAGCCAATAACTCACATAAAGAGTTGGAGAAGTTGATTGACATTTCCTCCAAGGACATACCACCAACTCTCCGATCAAAACTGAGGGAGTTAGTCAAGAAGTACCAGGAAATTTTCGATATTGGAGAAGGAAAAGGCGGCAGAACGAATGTGGTTCACCATAGAATCGACACTGGGAATGCCCGACTAATTCGGCAATCAGCTAGAAGACCCCCTCTTGCCAAGAAAGAAGAGGCAGACAAGATGGTCAGCGATATGGAAAAAGAAGGAGTCATCGAACCTTCTGACAGCCCCTGGTCTTCCCCAGTCGTATTAGTGAAGAAGAAGGACGGCTCGACAATATTCTGCGTGGACTGTCGCCAGCTAAATAATGTGACGAAGAAAGACAGCTACCCTCTTCCAAGAATCGACGATACTCCAGACACGCTAGCCTTCTCCACGATTTGAAGAGTGGATGTTGGCAAGTTTTATTGACCCCAGAAGATCGAAAAAAGACAGCTTTCACCATCGGCTCAGGATTGTGGCAGTTCACGGTTATGCCATTCGGGCTTTGTAATGCTCCAGCGACCTTCGAGAGATTGATGGAGACGGTTCTCAAGGGGCTCTCATGGAAGACGTGTCTTAGTGTATCTCGACGATATAATCGTGGTCGGAAAATCGTTCGACGATCACTTGAAAAATCTGGAGAAGGTATTCATGCGTCTGAGCAGTTAAGGATTGGTCCATTCCAAAAGACATACATCAGATTCGGAGCTTCCTTGGTTTATGCACCTACTACCGCTGATATGTGCTGGGGTTCCGAAGTTCCAGTAGTCTGAGGAATGCCAAGACTCATTCAAGAAGTTGAAAGGAGCTTTGATCAACGCTCCTGTTTTGAGCTATTCCCTACCGGACGGAAAATTTATTCTAGATACGGACGCCAGCAACGTTGGACTTGGAGCAGTCCTTTCTCAGATCCAGGATGGACAGGAGAAAGTTATTGGCTACTTCAGCAAAACGCTCAGTAAACCAGAGCGCAATTATCGTGTCACCAGGCGAGAGTTGTTGGCCGTTGTCAAAGGTGTAGAACATTTCTACAAATACGTGTATGGAAGAAGATTTTTGTTGAGAACAGACCATGCAAGCTCTCAAATGGTTTCTGCAGTTCAAAAATCCCGAAAGCCAAGTAGCGCGCTGGATTGGGAGACTTCAAGAATTTGACTTCGAAATAGAACATCGAGCTGGGACTAGCCATAAAAACGCAGATGCCCTGTCACGGAGACCACGCCCCGATGACTGCTCTCATTGCCAACGAGCAGAAGAGAAGGAAACAGCTATGTATAGAACTAAAGCTGTAGACGACAAATGGGAGGACAATAAGATCAAGGAAGACCAAGAGAAACACCCAGATCTTGGTTTAGTCATCACATGGAAGAAAATTAATCATAGACCATCGGTGCAGGAGGTAGCCGGTTACTCGCCGGCGGTCAAGTCCTACTGGACCCAATGGAACACCCTTACCTTGGAAAACGTCGTTCTGAAGCAGGTGTTGGAGTCTGAAGACGGTAGTGAAGACATGCGCCAGACAGTGGTACCCAGGAACAGACAGACGACAGTAGGTGCTCAAAGAAATCCATGATGGAGTCACTGGAGGACATCTGGTAGTAACAAAGACCCTCTAGAAAGTAAGACAACGGTTTCACTGTGTTAATTGTCAAGCCGACGTCAAGGACTGGTGCAGAAAGTGCTGCCAGTAACGGACCTCGGATATGACCGAAAGCTACAATGCGCCAGTATAACGTGGGTAGTCCCTTTGAGAGAATCGTCATCGACATCGCCGGCCCGTTCCCAGAATCCGACCATGGGAACAAATACATCCTGGTAGCCATGGACTACTTCAGTAAGTGCCCAACCCTGCCCTGCCCAACAGAGAATGTACATCCATGAACGAGTCCGTCTGAAAATCCGGAGTGCCAGCGATAGAATGAAGAAGACCTATGACATCAAGGCAAATGCTTGAGCATTCGCAACCGGTGACCTAGTTTAACTCTACAACCCTAAGCAACGCCGTGGTTTATCACCGAAGTTGCGGAACTCGTGGAAAGGTCCGTACAAAATCATTAAAAAGATTAATGACCTCGACTACCGAATCCATAAGCCATCTCGAGGAAAGCCTAGGGTCATCCATTTTAATACATTGGCTCCTTATGCTGGAAATCACGACCAAGTTTGCGCCCTTAGACCACCAGAGGATGAAATGACGTTTCAGAAGTTCATGTCATTATACTCGAACGGACAGAAGATCGTACATGGGGTAACTCAAGAAGAGCCACGAGACCTTTTCAAGGTTCCAGTTGAAAGCGCACTAGCTCACTGAGTGGCAGATGATCTCCAAATGTCCAAGGGTATCACTGTGGTATTCAACAAGAAATTCGGTCATTTCCAAACATTACGAGAACAGAATGCTGAAGTCGGAGAAGTGCTACAGTTAAAGAAGGGTCAGAGAAACATTTTCTACTTGGTGACCAGATAATTCTCGAGACAAATCGTCCTATGAAGATGTCTGGAGAAGTCTTACTAGACTGAGGGACACAATGCTCGACCAGAATCTCGTGGACTTGGCAATCCCGAAATTAGCCTCTGGGCTCGACAGGCTGGATTGGAGAATTGTGAGAAGCATGTTGGAAACGATCTTCAGATCCAGCGGCATCAAAATTTTGGTGTGCGGTAACCATCTTCCACGACCGAGCATGAAGACTGTGGAGTGTTACTTCCATCGAACTTCACAGTGCAGATATGGGAAGTCCTGCAGGTATCGACACACGCCAAGAATAACATTTCGGGGCGAAACGTCTTTAAGAAAGGGGCAATGTAACGAATATGAAGCCGGCTCTGACCGATATCTGAGCCAGCGAATAAACACATGACTCACCGTGAACCACCGCGAAAAGTCTAGGCCAGTCCTGAAACGACTACAGAATTCTACGATGGACCTTTACCGATATAAAAGGCCGGCTCCTCGTTCAGAGAGGGCAGTCTGAATTCAGAAAGCGAATCGAGCGGTTAAACAAGGAATTCAAATAGCATTAGATAAATTAGATAAATTAGGCGTTAATTGCTAAGTTTTGAATATAAATTAGTTTGTGATAGTGATAGAAATAAATTTGTTTAAGACAGTAAATTCTTTAAATTGTTACAATATCTTTTCTTAAGTCAATGTTATAAATCAGCTTTCAATTTGAGTTTTGGTGAACATCTGATTCTGTCTAAGAGAGGTGTTCAACAAGGTAATTGCTTAGGACCTGCTCTTTTTTGTCTGACCATAACAAACTCACTAGAAGCTTATCGTCCGAATTTAATTATTGGTATTTGGACGATGGCTCAATCGCTGGCGATGAAAACATTGTTTCAAAGGATTTACAAAAATTCATTGAATATTCAAATTATCTTGTACTTGAACAAAGTTTTGATAAATGCGAGTCTAAATGGAGTCTTCTGGGTGCTTCTCTTTCTAAAGATTCACGTTCAGAACATCTTCAAGAAAAACGGGAATCAGTCAAATTGCTGACCACCAGATTGAATGAACTTCCTAAACACGTTGTATTTTTTCTTTTGAAAAATTGTTTGGCGATTCCAAAACTCATGTACGCCCTCAGATGTTCCCCCACTTGGGTAAGTGAGTTAGAGCTTGACGAATTTGATAATTTACTCCGTAAGACGACGGAATATGTAACAAACAAGTTTTTTTATGATTTATGGCTCCAAGCAACGCTTCCTGTAAACCTTGGCGGACTTGGGCTACGTTCGGCTTCTTCCTTAGCTTTACCAGCTTTTCTGTCGTCAGTCAATAGTGTTTCTGATCTTATCGACTCCATCCTTCCTTCCATATTTATCAATATCAAAGACGTTTTTTATACTGAAAGTGAATCACTTTGGCATGCCGCAACTAATATTGCTTCTACTACAGATAAAAAGGCCATGTGACCGACCTCATCTGAACATTATAAATGATAAACTTCTGAAATCTACAAATGTATACATACGATACGGCTCGTCTGAAAGCAGCAATGATCAAGGAATCGGGTGCTTGGCTGTATGCTTTACCTGTTGCATCTCTTGGATTACTATTAGACTATGAATCTTTCAGAATAGCAATAGGACTCAGGATGGGTTTATCTATTTGGGTCCCTCAATCTTGTGTTTGCGGTAGTGTAGTTGATGAAAATGGTACGCATGGTTTGAGTTGCAGAAGAAGTGCATACACCTCGACATCACCAGGTTAACAACATATTGAAACGAGCTATGGTGTCCTGCAATTCTGGAACCCTTAGGTACCAGTCGAGATGAGTAAACGACCAGATGGTATGTCTCTCATACCATGTAAATGCGGTAAATCTGTGGTATGTATGGGACTTCACTTGCGTTAACACAGTCGCGGCTTCCCATCTAGCCAAAAGTTCGAAGTCTGCTGGAACTGCAGCATTGTCTGGCGAAATATTAAAAAGAAAAAATAAAAAATATTGGTGAAAACTATATGTTCCATCCAGTGGCGGTTGAAACTTTTGGTGTTTATGGCCCGGAGTCTCTGTTATTCGTTCATGAACCCGGGAGGAGAATATGCCAAGAAACGAAAGATTACCGTTCTACCCCTTTTTTTGATAGAAAAAATTAGTATTCCTCTTTCACATAATTTTGATATCATGCATTGCCCTCATTTCAGTACGGAACTAAAATATCTTTGAAACAAGCCGAGATATGTGTATATTCAGTAGACAGTTGTCCTGAAAATCTTGCTAAGGAAATTGGATTAGATAATTTAGGAAACATTTACTACATGAATAGCATTTTACAAGTGTTGTTCATGACGAAGAATTTCAAGATCGAGGTTTCAATGATGATGAAGAACAAGAATGTTTCCTACTTATTCACCAAACTCAAACAATTGTTCAGGCAGTGGCAGTTTCGTAAGAATGTATCATCTTTCCCACCAACCGATTTCCTGGAGTCTTTGAAGTCCACTAGATACTCTTAAGGACAAGAGGATTGCTCCGAATTCTGGGAGTTTTTGTTGAATACTTTTCGTGGCAAAACAATAACAGAATCAATAATCCTGACCGCTCTGGATTGAATGATCCCATACAATTTATCTCGTCTTGTGTTTGTAGATCTTTTGCCGGAAAAATCCTCACTTGTTTACTTTTTAGTAAATGTTGAAGAGGTAGCAAAAACGTATGTGATTTTCTGGAACTTCAACTATCGTTTCCTAATATGATCGACTGATAACCAGTCCATGCAAAGCTTGTTGTTAAATCATCTGAAAATGGAACTTTTAATGGGTGATGATCAAATGTATTGCCCAACATGCGCCAAACTAACTGACTATTATAGGAAAACAAGTATAGCTGAGGCACCAGTCAGTCTAATAATAACACTGATGATTTTCAAACAAGACTCAACTTCTGAGGGAAGCACCAAACTCTTAAGAAAGTTCGAAATAGCAGACCACTATTATGATCTTCATGCAGTCATTGTTCGCTGTGGTTCTGGCGTCGAATATGGTCATTATTAAGCATTGGTCAAAGACCAAACGGACTGATTTAAGTTTGACGATAGTCGTGTCATAAGTGTTCTGGCGATGTCTTGAATTTATTGGAGCCTCTGGAGCACCCTACATTTTGTTTTATGAAAGAGAGGATATTGGCAGATCAAGATCTTCAGATGATATGGTGCTGTAGGTTTTTTCGGGTTTTCCTGCAGCTGAAACAGCGAATGCGCCACTGGAATCAATGAAGTCGCCTCGGAGCGCCAATTAATTTTTGTTATTGTTTCATAATTTCATAATTTGTATTACTTTCTTCTTTAATATATTAAATTTAAAATTCATTATTTTGTATTGATTTGTGTTTAATATCAATTCAAAGCAAATGTTTATCAATGATTTTAAAATTTTGACCTCAATTCCAATCCCGTGGATTGATTTGGATTTAAATAGTTTACAACAATATATTATAACCTAAACCCTAGCCATAACAACGCGTGCTCGGGTCTGCTATTATCCATATATGAGAAGGTCACTATGTCTATCTAATTTATATAAAAATTTCAAAAGAAGAAACCTTACCCCTCTTTTGAAAATGGGATACTCTTCCTTCCCCTTTATATTCATATTAAACATAATCATTCAAGTATCTCGTAGAGTCGGACGTTAGGTCGGCGTATCATTA